TTCTTGCGAAATTTATTTTTGAAATATTCATGTTAATGGCGACATATTTGTGCATAGGATAATCGTCTTATATTGGTAATCTGCTCGGGTCAAATAACTTCTGAGCTTTCTTCGCCGGAATAAGGGTGGGGAGTTCAGTTTTTTAACTTTCGAGATTTTCCAAAATTAAAGAATTAAAAAATTTCTCGCATTTTGTTTTTAAAATACGACATCGTCCTTCCTCAGCGGCGTTATTACTTTTCGTATGCAACAGTAGCCATTCCACAATTACTTTTATTATTATTACTGTTATATCACTACTTTTTTACTCTTCATTTTCAGAATCTTAAAATTTTTTATTCGTTTAGTTCATTAATTCATGTTTTTGTCAAAAAGCTGATCTAAGCTGACTTTCGAGCTTGGAACTTTTTGAAACTTGCATGTTGTCTTTTTTCTTTTTCTATTCATCAGCAATCTTAACCATTATCAAGCTCTGCAAATGGATGGCTAAATGTTGGCATCCGAAATGTTTGCTAATGAGGGTTTGTTATTTGGACAAATTCCGGTACATAATTATATACCACAAACTAGGCAACCCACTACATAAATTGTCTGAACGGAAATATTTGGTGATGAATTATTAAGTTTTAAAAATATGCGATAGGAGACGTTTGTGCTAAAGTTGTATGGCAATGCCCTTCAGATGTATATCTTTCAGTTTTTCAGTTTGAAACGTTTCAGTTTGACTTTTATTTAGCTGAAGTATTATCAGTAGGGATTGGTTAGACAGAAAGATTTATTATAAAGATTTTTCAAATTAAGGGAACAATCTAGTGTATGACAGTGCATTGTTACATTTTTGGTTAACTTGAACATGGCTTTAAATATCCGGATAATCGCAGTAGTTGACCGTTGAACTATTTACATAGCTTTAGCAATGGATTAGACTGATTGATTATGAGATGTTTTGCATATTAGAAATGGATTCGGAAGTTTTTAATGTAAAAATTCTTACTTAGCCATATTTTAAAATGCTCCTGTTTTTAGAATAATTTGCAATCAGATTGTGTAAATGAATGGCTCAAATCTTTATATGTACTAGCAAAACATTTTTTTTTTTTCCTAGATTTTGTTATATTTGATATTGTTAAAATAAATATTGTTTCGAGAATTTCCTATATGCATCATTTCCAGGAAATTCCATATTTCGAACCCATTTTTGATTTGATAGAATTAAAACTTTGCATAGTTTCTTAATTGATTGATTTGATTTAAGAGCTTAAATGAAGTGAGGCGTATGTCATTAACACTATCACTGCCCACACGGTGTACAGAATATTTATTGCTGGACGCTAAAGTTTGTTTCAAAAGGGATGAGGTTATCGTTATCGAACATGACAATTATGTGAATTATCCGTTAACTGTTAAAAACTGTTGGGTATTAAAAAAATCCTTGTTACCGATTATTCTGAGAAAGTTCGAGTTTATTTGGGAAGTAAAATTCGGTTCAACTGATTTCTTTATCATTTATATCTTACTGGAGGTTAAATGATAAATTATTGATTGTTATTCCGAGGGTACTTTCATCTTGTTTAATTCTTTTAGGACGGAACTTGAATGTGTAAACTTTTAACTCCCTAAGGCACGGCTTTTGTTATAACTCTGAAATCAGTATGTTTATTTTCGTTTGTTAATTGGATCGTCTGATTTTAATTTTAATTGTGAACAGTTGCTTGATTTAATTTTTTAATCACTTTAAGGTTTATTTCTAGAAAATCTTTGTTTGCAGTACTTCATTCTGCCATTACTTGGAAAACTGATTAGAACTCTGATGGATCTACAGACGGTTTATTACGATAAATCCGAATATGTAGAAACAGCTACGGGTAACAAGGTAAATCGGAAATCAAGATTATTTGGTAGTCAGAATATTGTACTGAACGGAAAAGTAAGCTAATGTAATTTTCATGCCAAATTAATATATGATGTAATCGATAATTTTCCATTTTAACGTTATGCCATATAATATGTTATTACATCGTTTTTAGCTTAGTTTAATTAGCATACATTATAAATATTGTAAGGGTGTCAAGGTGATACAACAATGATTAGTAATCTGATACAAATTGATAATATAATGAGCTGACATCTAACTTATCATTTGCATCAACGAAATAGTAGAAAATGTGAGAAATACTTCTGATGCAAGTCTTTTGCAATTTTGACATCTCAGTTGATTCGTTTTTTTTTCCTCCTTGACTTTTCTTTGTTTCATTTCAGTCAATACTGATGAAAGATTGTATCTTACGTGGTGATATGCATAATATTCGAACGGGTAGATATTGTGTTGTTGGTGAGCGCACTATTATTCGACCATCCTATAAGCGTTTCAGTAAGGGATTAACATTCTTTCCTGTGCATATTGGTGACCATGTATTTATTGAAAATGTAAGTTTCGTTGTATCAGTATTTCTTTTTTTTCTTTTTTTTAAATTGCATACAGATGTGTACGAAAATATAAAGCATCCAGTGCATATTGGATTAAGAATTTCGATATGTTCCAATCATCAGTGATTGATTATTATATGGAAAATTAAAATTTTTCAATTTCTTTAATTTGTTTAATCATTTTAAAGGATTGTATAGTAATGGCTGCAGAAATTGGAGCATTTGTCCATATTGGTCATAATGTAGTGATTGGTCGTAGTGTAATAATTAAAAGTTGTGTGCAAGTACTGCCGAATACAGTAGTGCCACATGATGCTGTTATTCCACCTTTTTCAATTGTAGGAGGTAATCCAGGTATGCTATCTTGTTATTTATTTGTTTTTTGTGAGCTGAACAACGAAATGGCTTTTCAATTTAGTCCAATTTTTTAGGATTTAAGTAATTGGCAAAGAATTTTCAGTGAAATCAAATAGTTTCATTTCTTTTTCCATTTTATTATTTATACATTATATATATATATATATATATATATATATATATATATATATATATATATATAT